CTTAGTCATCCAAGACTTCTGGTTGGGATAAATCTGGATTCGTTTGTCCACAGTAACAGTGTCTATACAGTATTAAATATAGTCCAGAACAGCTGCAGTGAACTCCTCCAAGTCTGGGTGGTCCAAGATGTCCCAGTTTGTCCTCTCAAAACAGTTCTGCAGCTGTTGAGAGACACCATCAGGCCAGGATTTCACAGCCTGTTTCCTAAGAGGAGTATGTGCTGCTAATAAAAGCATAGATATATGGTCTGACTGGCTGATGTGTGGCAGTTATATAACCCTATAGCCAAGTTTAACATTGGAATAGGCCTTGCCCAATGTATTTGCTCCCCTAGTGGCACACTTAACATGCTGGTGGAATTTGGGGAGCACTGCTTTTAAATCAGCATGGTTGAAGTCCCCTACTATAATGTGCATAGCATCAGGATACTTATTCTTCTGGTTACTAACAGATTATACAAAAATCCCAAAGCCAAGTTAGCATTAGCATCAGGTGGAATATAAACAGGAGTAATTATGACTACGGTAAACTCCAGCTGAAGGTATATGGGTCTGCATCTCACAGTCATATACTTCAGGTCCATAGAGCAGTGACTGTCTACAGTCTTTGTGTTGGTACACCAACTGTTGTTGACATATATGCATAAACCTCCTCCTTCGCTTTTACCAGAATCCCTGCTCCTACCCTGGCGGTGCACTGTGCAGCTTGACAGCTGTATCTGGTATAGATGAGTGAAGCCAGGTCTCTGTGATCAGTAAAACACAGCAGTCCTTGATTAACTTGTTTGTTGTAATTCACAGCCTCAACTCATCCATTTTGTTGGCGAGGGATCTTACGTTGGCAAGAAAAATGCTCGGAAGTGGTGGTTTGTTTGGATGTTTACGTAGCCTCACTAGCACACCAGCCCGGCAGCCTCGCTTTTGCTTCCTGTTGTCCAGAACTGTTGGGTTCAACTTGAGGAGAGCATACTGTAGACCAGCACTTCTTTCAAAGCAGATTGGACTGTCCCTTCCTGCATACACCATAGCTTGGATCCAACCACATGCACTCCTGGGAGGCCTTGACCAATCAGAATGGGCATGGATCTAAAGCACAGGTGGTAAAACTCCAAAGACCCTGCCATCTTCCTCTGAACCAACAACTACCACTCTTCCCAGATAAAACAAAATCAATTCCAAAGGACCTGCCCAGCCAGAGTCCAACTCCTAGTGAATCGAAACAATTTATTTGACAAATACTTAGAAAAGTCCATTTCTCTTTTCCAATAATTTTATTAAAAGTTACAGTGCAGAAAGTGTTCAGACCCCCTTCACTTTTGTCAATTTTAT